CTGAAGCAGTTGGGCCATGAGAGGTTCTGTTCATTGGAGAAAACTCTGGGGCTTTGCATTTCTCCGACTCATTGTGGTCTCACGCATTCCTCAACTCACATCTTTGCACGTGAGTAGTTCCGGTACCGCTGGTCTGCCCAGTGCCCTGCTGCCTATCTGCTGTCTCGTGTGAACTCGCTGGGCCACCCTCTGACTGCTGGACCCACCTCCAGCTGCTACTTAGGGCAAGAGAGACGGATCCCAGTACCCCACCCAGCCAGCCGCAGCCCGCTCTGGTCTGCCACCTTCGATTCAACCTCTTCACTGTGGCTGCAGCTGTGATCTCATCCTTCCTGTCTCATTTTAATGCCACCTCCTTCAGGAAGCCTCCCCTGACTAGGAAGCCAGGCGGCCTCACTACCGTCTCCACACAGCACAGTCTAGGAATGGCCTGCCCAGGTGGGGCAGCATTGGTCAAAGATGCTCCACTGCTGCTCCAAGTCCTGACCATCCAGCCCTCTGCACTCCCCTGAGGCCCCACCGTGAGGAGAAGCAGCCCCAGCCTCCGGGCCCTTTCAGGCTTGACTGTGGCCCTGAGCCCCAGGGGTGAAGTTTGCTGAGCCTCACCTGGCTCTCTGCATTTACGATGGAGGTGGGGATGGGGGGCAGAGCCAGACACTCAGAGGTGAAGCCCAACGCAACCCAATCAACCAAACTGCCTCCTTCCCACTGAGAAGCAAGACAAGGGGCAAAACAGATGTGACCCCAAAATATCCTGTTTGTTCCTGATTGAGGACCTGTGAGTCCAGCAAGGGGCCGGCCAAACTCCAGGACCGTGAGGACCCACCCTCCCTGTCCTAGGCTGGGCCAGCACCACAGAGCCACTGAGCCCAGGGGCCTCTGCTCAAGGCGATCCCTACAGGGTAAGGGGCAACGTTGGTGGTATTAGAGATGTTGAGGCAAGGCGCCCACCTGGGACACAAAAAGAAGCAGAGCTCCCCCCAGTGGCAGCTCCTTCCTCCCCGGATGTAGCATATCACTCATGAAAGAAGCAAATACCAGGCCAAGCAAAGGGGTGCTCATGGCAGGGTCTGCAGGTGAAGGGTGGGGCTGCGGGAAACAGCAGGATGGCCTGGAGGGTGGAAGGTCCCAGAAGTCTCCAAGACTGAGTAGTTTCCCTTTCACCCTCAGTCCTCCACCACCCACCCTTCCTGCACCCTTCCCTAGTCACTCATCAACCATCCTGCCATTGGAACCCAGTGTAACCACCCACCATTCTCCCCTTCCATCAGCCACAACCAGTGTCTCCCCAATCCACAAGGCACACCATCTATCTCTCCACCAGTAATCCCCTAATGACCAATTCACCACCCTCCCAGAAACCCATCTCCCCATCATCAAATCATCCAAACATCATGCACAATCTATTTGCTGTTCATCTTTCTACCTCTCTGCCTCCCATCACCCACAAATCCATCCTCCATTCACTCACCACCCAACCATTCCAATGTGTATGATGCAGATCCAAGCATCCACTGCAGACCCATTCCCCCAACCCCCTATCATGTATCCATCACCTAGCCCACATTCATTCACAATTCATCCACCATGCTCTGTCCACCCACCCATTTATTTATATCCAGTAACTCCTGTACTCTCATCCACCTACCTACTATCTCTCTACCTACTGTCCATTCACACGTCATCTAAAATCCATTCCCCATTATTCATCCACCATCAATCCATCCCTCCATTTGGTCTTGTCCAACATCCATCTACAACCGTTCACCATCCAAAATCCACAACTTTCTCTCACCCACCATCCATTGCAGCAAACTATCCATACGTACACATCCATTCAACAGCTACAATTTCTGTTTCACCCATCAACCATCCACTATGCAACCATGATTCATTTTGCCACCATCTGCCCTTTCCCCCATTCTCCTTTATTCAACTCCCATCCATCAACCATTCTTCCACAATCACTCTTCTATCCATCTATCCACCAATAAAATTCACTGTCTGCGAGCTGCCATCCATACATTTACCCATTCACCATTCACAATCAACGATCTTTTTTTTTTGGACAGAGTCTCACTCTGTCGCCCACGCTGGAGTGGAGTGGCACAATCTCGGTTCACTGCAACCTCCGCCTCCCGGGTTGAAGCAATTCGGCCCCAGCCTCCTGAGTAGTTGGGATTACAAGCGTGCACCATCACATTCGGCTAATTTTTGTATTTTTAGTAGAGACAAGGTTTCACCATGTTGTCCATGCTGGTCTTGAACTCCTGACTTTAAGTGATCCTCCATCCTCAGCCTCCTAAAGTGCTGGGGTTATAGGAGTGAGCCACTGCGCCCGGCCAACTATCTACTTTCATCTACCATCCATCATCTGTCTATTGATCAACTGTCCTTCTACAAAATACTATCCTCTGTCAATCCACCACCCATCATCCACCATTCTTAACGCACCACCCATCTATCCGCCATTCACCATCCACCATTACCTTCCATCTATCTACCATCCATCATCCAATATCCTTCTATCCACCAATCTACCCACTTATCCATCCATCATTCACCCATCCTCCATCCATCCATTCACCTATCCATCATCCACTCATTCACCACCCATCCATCTACCACCCACTCATTCACCATTCATTTACCCACCATCCATTCATGCATACGTCCACCATCCATCTATCCACCATTTATCCATCCACCACCCACTCCCACTATCCATCCTTCCACCATCTATCCATCCACGCATTCACCATCCACCCATCCACCACCTACCATCCATCCATTCATCCACCAGCCATCCACACATTCACCATTCACTCATCCACCATCCTTTCTCCACCATCCATCTATCCATCCATCCATCTACCCATCCACATATCCACCATCCATTCATCCATCATCCACAATTTACTAATCCACTGTTCATTCATCCATCCACCCATCCATTCACACATCCACCATCCACCATCCATTCATCCACCATCCACCCATCATTCACTCACCCACCATCCACCATCCATCCATCCTCCCATCCATATGTCCATTCACCCATTCACCATCCACTCATCCACCATCCACCATTCATCTATCATCTCTCATCCACTACCTACCATCCACCATCCATCCATCTACCATCCACTTACCCATAATCTGCCATCCACCATTAGCCATTCAGCCATCCATTCATCCACCACCCATCCATCACCCATCCATCACCATTCATATTCACCATCCGCCATCCACCTATTCACCATCCACCATTCACTCATTCACCATCCATCCTTCCATCCACCCACCATCCACCATCTATCATCTACTATCTACCATCTGCCACCCATCCATCCACTCAATATTCACCATCTCCATTAACTTGTTCACTATCCACCACCCACCAACCACCATCCACCTACCATCCATCATCCACCATTTATCCATTATCTACTTATCTACCATCCATTACCCCTCCATTTACCATCCCATCCACCATCCGCTATCCACCCATTATCCACTATCCACTATCTATTCACTATCCACCATCCATCCATCCATTCCATCCATCTCCATCCACAATTCACCATTTATGCAACCATCATCCACCATCTATCCATCTACCATCTACCTATTCACCATCCACCATCCATCCATTCAGCATTCATCACTCACCAAACATCCACCATTTAATACCCACTCTTTTTTTTTTGGAAATGGGGTTTCACTCTTGTTGCCCAGGCTTGAGTGCAATGGCATGATCTCTGCCCACCACAACCTCCACCTTCTGGGTTCAAGCGATTCTCCTGCCTTAGCCTTCGGAGTAGTGGGGATTACAGACATGTGCCACCATGCCCAGCTAATTTTGTATTTTTAGTAGAGATAGGGTTTCTCCATGTTAGTCAGGCTGGTCTCGAACTCCCGACCTCAGGTGATCTGCCTGCCTTGGCCTCCCAAAGTGTTGGGGTTACAGGCATGAGCCACCGCACCCGGCCAACACCCATTCTTTATGATCTACCTGCCGGCCATGTATCCACTTATGCCATTCTCCATCCACCATTCCCTGATTACCATCCATTCATTTTTCTTTTCTTTTCCTTTTTTTTTTTTTTGTTTGAGATGGAGTCTCACTCTGTGGCCCAGGCTGGAGTGCAGTGGCATGATCTCAGCTCACTGCAAGCTCCTCCTCCCAGATTCATGCCATTCTCCTGCCTCAGCCTCCTGAGTAGCTGGGACTATAGGCACCTGCTACCACGCCCAGCTAAATTTTTGTATTTTTTTTTTTTAGTAGAGATGGGGTTTCACTGTGTTAGCCAGGATGGTCTTGATCTCCTGACCTCGTGATCTGCCCGCCTCAGCCTCCCAAAGTGCTGGGATTACAGGCGTGAGCCACTGCACCTGGCCATTCATTCATTTTTCACTCACCATCTTCATCCATCCATTCATCACCCATCCACCCTCTATCACTCATCATCCACCCCATCAACCATTCACCATTCACCTGCCATGCATCCATATGCCCTACACCATGCACCATCAATGCTGCTGTCCATCAGCTGTCCCCTACTCACCATCCATTACTCTCCACCACCATCCACAATCCACCCTCGTATACCATCCACATACCATGTTCCATCCAGTATCTTCCTTCTATCATCCAACCACCATCTGCAACCCATGGGACGGGGGCACTACGTGAAGTGGACACCCAGTCACAATGGTGAGCGGACTAGGCTCAGCCCTAGCGGCACACAGGACAGAGAAAGGGGTGAATTCAAAGGTCGTTTATTCCCCCTCCCGGCAAGACACCCATTTTACGGGGTAGGTTAGTCCCGCCAAGCCCTTCTTCCTTGCCCTTCTTCCTGAGAACCTAAGGTGTTCAGGCCCTGGAGGGGCGGGTAAGGAGAGGCTGAGAAGGTGCCTCCCAGGGGCCTGAAGAGTCGGCCCTGGGCGGGTCTGGAGGTAAATGTGTAACGGACCCCGGTGCCCCCACCCGACCTGCCTGGTCACGTGGGTCCAGTGGGGCAAAGTCTCCTGGTCGGGCGCAAGGAGCAGAGGCGAGATGGGCGCCCTGGGCCGGGTCCTGCTGTGGCTGCAGCTCTGCGGTGAGCCGGGGCCACAATGGTGCGGGCCAGGGCCCAGGACGGCAGCGGGTCTGTCAGGACCCAGGGCCGAGGTCGCTCTAGATGTGGAGGGTGAAGATCTTCCGAGGAGTGGGCAGCGAGGGCTTTGGAGGGTGGGGGGCGTGAAACTCGAGCTGGCCTCCCTGGTCGTGCGAGTGCGCGGCCAGTGCATCTGGCGGCGCGGGAAAGGAGAGGAGGGGTCCGGGAGCCTCCGCCAGCCCCGGCCTCCGGTGGCTCCTGCCCTCGCGGTTTTTCCGTCTGCGAAATGGGCGCGGTCCCCAGAACCTGCCGAGAGCAGCGAGTGTGCGCCTGCGGGGCTGGGCAGACTGCCTCAGTTTCCCGGTCCGCAAGGGAGCACTGAGCCCTCCCCCGCCTTCACACCAGGCCGGCGCGTGTCCCTGGCGCCCCCTTCCCTAAACCCCTCGCGGCTCCCTCACGGCAACCCTACCCACCCCGTTCAGGGCCGGCCTGACCGGGTCCTGCCGCCCCCAGCCCGTTCGTTCCTCTCATACCGGGATGCGCTGTGTCGCAGCCCTTCCCGGCCCAGGTAGGACTTCTCCGGGAAGCCTTCCTGATTCCAAGGCCAAGGAAGAGGGCTGCGCTGCCCCGTCCTCCTCCATGCCCCGGTTGTCACTGTCCTTAACAGCCCTCTCCTCTGTTCCAGCGCCAGGCAAACTGGGGGCACTGCCGGGAGGCGATCTAGGCAGGCGTCCTGTAGGGCACGTTTGAGCGGGCTCTGCAGATACAGTATAAGTCCGTCGGAGAGCGCTCGGGCAGGGCGCCCACAGTCTGGCCGGGAGGGCCCGGGGCCTGGGTCTGGGCCCCGGGGATGGGCTTCCTATGCGTCCCGGGTGACCCGCGCGGACCTGCTGCACCTCTATGGGTGGGTGGCCTTCCCTGAGGAGGGAGCATCCCGGCGAGAACGGCGGGTACTCGGTCACCTCCTCCCCAGCACTGACCCATGCAGCCTCCAAACTCTGGGTCCCCAATACGGACTTCGACGTCGCAGCCAACTGGAGCCAGAACCGCACCCCATGCGCCGGCGGCGCCGTCGAGTTCCCGGCGGACAAGGTGCCTGGGAGCCCCGACCGGGTCGGTGATGGGCCTGGACCCCCGGGACCGCGTGGCCCAGGTGGGGGCTGCTCCCGGCTGGGCTGACGCAGCTTCTTCCTGCAGATGGTGTCAGTCCTGGTGCGAGAAGGTCATGCCCTCTCAGACATGGTAAGGCCGGGCTGTTGCTGCCACTGGGCTGGGGATTCCCGGAGTCTCCCAAGTTCCTTCAGGGACTGCTGTGTCTGGAAGGCGGCCCCCACCAGCACGGAGGCGCTGCGGGACTCGGACTTTGGCCTCTGGAGAATAATCTAGGAAGCAGGGGATGGGGGAGAACCTAGGGGAGCGTGGTCCCATGGTCTCAGCCAGGCTGTGTCCTTGGAGGGGTGGGAGGCGCCCCGTCCCCACAGCCCTTCTGGTACCCAGCAGTGGGTGGTCTTCTCAGGAAGTGCCCGCTCCACGCCCTTCCCCCAAAGTCTTGCCCTGTCCTGGTGCCTAAAGCTCCACCTTTAGAACACTAGGGTCCCCAGTACCCCCCCTCTACCCACCATCCGGGTCCCTGGCCTGTTAGGAAGCAGCCACCCAGCAAGAAGTGAGCCCACTCCTGCCTTCGCTCTACCACCCTTCAGATCAGATTCTCCTAGGGACCCCTATGTCACTGTGCCAGCGAGGGACCTGGGTGGGTGTGCACTCCTTAAGTGCCTGATATCTGAGATGAGACAGCTTAATCCTGAAACCTTCCCCACCCATCGGTTCATGGAAGAACTGTCTTCCACAAAACTGGTCCCTGGTGCCAAAAAGGTTGGGGACTGCTGCCCTAGGGGACCTTTTTCTCAAACTGCGTCACACAACACTCCAAGAAAATGATGGGAACTGGGAGGAAAGCAGGTTCCATGAGCAGGTAAGTTTGGGAAACGCTGCAGCCTGCACTTGCCTGGAACTTTATCACGTATTAAAGGCTCTGGTAAGGCCCCAGAGAAATAAGCAAATTTCCTTGTTTAAGGTGGAGTTCAGCGAGTTACAGGCCAAATGCAGCCCCTACGGCTGGAACAAGGAATGGTTTTTACACTTTGTAATCACTGGGGAAAAAAAGAACAATCTTTTGTGGCACTTGAAAAGTATATGACATTCACACCTCAGCAACAGTAAATACAACTTCACTGGCACACAGCCCCCCCCCCCACTCGGCTGAGTATCCTCGGTGGCCACTGTCCCATTGCAGCGACAGCCCACCAGCTTCCAGGGTGACTGTGGGGCCCACAGGCCAAGTCTCTGGGCAAAAGCTTCCTTCCAGTCCCTTCACAGTCACTCCTGGGCTGCGTCCTCATCCTGTCACCTGCACATCTGCCAGCTCAGTCACTCTTGGGTGAGGGTCACTGGTGAGCTGGGTCGGGGTGTCGGCTCCGGATGTGGGGTCCAGGCCTGGGGGCCCCTGCGTGTGCAGGTGGGGGGGATGGCTCAATGGCATCGGCCTGGCCCACTCCTGCCCCACGCAGCGTCAGGGATCCCGGGCCTCATTTCCACCCCAGGGCTGCTTGATTTATTCCTTCAGGTTTTCCAAAGCTACCTTAACCCAAAAGCCGCCAGGCACTGGGCAGGGCACCCACAGCAAGATGATGACGTTCCTGCCCGGGAGATGGGAGGAGGGCTGGGAGAGGGAGGCAGTTGCCCCTCATGGCCCCGCCCCCCGAGCCCACGCATAACCTTGGCAACCAGGCAGCCTGAGGGAGGGGGGCACTGGGAGCTGATGGGGGATCTGTGGGCAGAGGAGTCAGGCTGGGGTGGAGGTTCCAGGGCATGGATTTCCCCCTACTCCCCTCCCCTGCCGGCCTCCTTACTTTCATGATCTCATTGGAAGCACTTGGGCTCTGAAAGGAGGCAACACTCCATTCATTCATTCATCTATTCAATAATTCATTCATTGATCATCCATTGGCTGGTGGGAACAGTGCAGGGGCAGGGGACAGTGGCCCTGGGGTCCCAGCCTGCAGAGGCCGAATTCACCCAGAGCTGCCTGAGCACCCCCATCCCCTCCACACCCCTGGCTCCCAGTGTCGTCCATCTGCCTAGATGGTGCCCGAGTAACAGGCCGTGCATATGAGTGCTTTACTTTGTAATTCTCTGGTTGGGAGCGTCCCTCCCTGCGATTTTCCTTTTCCTTGCCCCTCCTTTTGTTTACCCTTTGCCTGCTTTTTCTGTTGGGGAAGTCTCCTGTTTCACCCATGCCCTGGCCTGGGCTGGAGGCTTTGCGTTGCCTCATGTGGCTGTTGCATGCGTGTCTGCCTGGCCTGAACAGAACCGCCATTTTTATGACCTATGCACCCGTTTCCTTAGAACTGGGTGTTTTTTGTGTGTTTCTTTGGAAGTCGTGTGTCCTCGTTACAATGGTAAAGTGACTGCCGTACCTGATGGGGCATGTGCACCAGGCAAAGGGGGGGTTCCTGGCCTGCTGTTTCTCTCCTTTTAGGAGTGAGCCAGCTGCAACGTCCCCGCCTTGCCCCCTTTTCTTCAGGCATGCTGGAATCAGCGTTGCTGTGCGGCATTGTGGCGTGTCTCTCTGGAGGCCCTGTCTTCAAGTCCACAGGCGCTTTGGCCGCCCTGCATCTATCACATTGTGGCTCTTGGCGGATGGCTGTAATTCCTCCCTCGCGTCGTGCCCTCCAAGTTCTTTGCTGAGTGTCATTGTTGCAGATTATTGTAGAATAGGTTGCCAGGGTCACTACCACCTACCGCACACAAAGAAAAAAAAAAAAAGAAAAAACCCCTGGGATTTTTTGTTTGTCTTTTTGGTAGTCATGGAGCTTGCTCTGTCGCCCGGCTGGAGTGCCAGTGGCCATGATCTCTGATCACTGACCTCTGCCTCCGCGGTTCAAGTGTTCTTACTGCCTCAGGGGAGCTCCGGGAGTAGCTGAGACTATAGGAATTTTTGTTGGGAGTAACTACAGCCTTATGTGTCAAGTCATCTCATTCAAAGGAGGCATGGATGACCTCTCCAATATTTCGGTGCCTCCCATTGCCGTACTTCAGTTTAGCATTTAAGTGTTTTTGTCCTGTGGGTTATGTATTGTCTGGTAATTGTCTCAATCTTATTGGTTAGTTTGGTTTTTTGAGACAGGGTCTCACTCTGTTGCCCAGGCTGGAGGGCAGTGGCAGGATCACGGCTCACTGCAGCCTTGACCTCCCTGGGCTCAAACAATCCTCTCACCTCAGCCTCCCGAGTAGCTGGGACTACAGGCTTGTGCCATCACGCCCGGCTAATTTTTGTAGTTTTTGTAGAGATGGGGTCTCACTATGTTGGCCAGGCTGGTCTTAAACTCCTGGGCTCGAGTGATCTGCCCTCTTTGGCCTTCCAAAGTGTTGGGATTACAGACATGAGCCACGGCTCCTGGCCTTAAGTTTGTTTCTATTATGAATGTTGCCCTATATTTAAAAATTATATCCTCTTTTTATTTGTAAATTTTTTGTAGAGACAGAGTTGCACTATGTTCCTCACCAGGCTGATCTCAAACTCCTGGCCTTACCTACTGTGCTTGTCTGTTCAACTATTAGGATTTTTACGTTTATATTTTTCCCCTTCGTTCTTTAAGAAAAGGTGTTCTTGGTATGCTTCCTCCTGGGAACCCCTCCCTGTTCCCGAGGCGCTTTGTGCTGTGACACATTCCTGTGCCTATGGCTCCGCCTCTGCATCTGTGGGTGGACTTGCCCGCCCTGCTGGCAGAGCCGCACCCTCAGGTGTGCACGGAACTGAAGTGTGACCTCACGCCGCTGGGGGTGTTGGCCTCTTGCTCAGGTGCAGTGCTCCTGGAAGGGCCAAAGAGTGGGCCCTGCCCTGGGTGGGCATGCCCTGTTGTGCTGAGCCCCTCATAACCTGGCACCAAGGGTTGCCCTGGCCCAGCGCTCATCCTCAGCCCCTGAGAGAGAAGCGCAGAAGCAAGAAGGCAGGAAGCCGAGGTCCTGGCACTTGGAGGAGACGGGGAGGGAGGGGCGGCCGGTCAGACCCCCATATTTCTGCTGACACCCGAGGCCTGGGCTGTGGCCCCACTTCTGTGGTGAGGGAGCTGCATGGCCCACACCAGGCCTAAGAAACAGCAGGGGCAACTCCACTGCCCCGCTACACTCCCTGCCTCCTCCTGCACCCCTGGCCCCCAGATGCAGCCTCTCCCTCCCTCCCCTCCTTCCCTCCCTCCCTCCCTCACACACCAGACTCCCCAGGGGCTGGGCAACGTTTGAACCTGGGAGCCCTGGGCCTGTGCACGTTCTCAGGGGGCTATGGGGGAGGCGACAGGCCTTGGCCAGAGTCACCTCTGCCCCAGACTCCCCACGGCTCCGTCTCGCTCCCGGGCTGGGGCTCTGCCCCTGGCCTGAGACCTCTAGCTCAGGTACAGGACACTGGGCTGTGCCCGCCTCGGGGACTTGCACACGCGGCCCCATCTTTCCCAGGCCAGATCCTCCCCCTCTGGCAGCCTCAGCCAGGCCGAGGATCCCGGGCCTGAGCTCGCCCGGGCCCCTTCCGTGGACAGGGACTCGCTTCTCGTCCCAGGGGACTGGGGGCGGGGTGGGTGCGGAACAGGCCCGGACCCCCGCATGGCACCGCCTTAGCCAGTGCCTTTTGCAGCTCCTGCCGCTGGATGGGGAACTCGTCTTGGCTTCAGGAGCCGGATTCGGCGTCTCAGACTTGGGCTCGCACCCGGACTGCGGCGCAGGTGAGGCAGTCGGGCAGGGGCGGGGCTCTGGAAGGGCGTGTTCAAGGGAGGAAACTGGGAGGGGGCGTATCCAGGGCGGGGACTGGAGGGAAGGCGCGTCCGGGGGCGGGGACTGGAGGGAAGGCGTGTCCGGGGCGGGGACTGGAGGGTGGTGCGTCCGGGGGCGGGGACTGGAGGGAAGGCGGGCCTAGGGGCGTGGACTGGAGGGAGGTGCGTCCGGGGGCGGGGACTGGAGGGAGGGCGCGTCCGGGGCGGGGATTGGAGGGAAGGCGGGCCTAGGGGCGTGGACTGGAGGGAGGTGCGTCCGGGGGCGGGGACTGGAGGGAAGGCGCGTCCGGGGCGGGGACTGGGGGAAGGCGCATCGAGGGAAGGCTTGTGGAGGGGGCGAGGACTGGAGGGAGGGCGTCTCTCCCGGGGCGGGGTTTAGGGAATGGCGGAAGTGTCCGGAAGCGGGGCTTGGGAGGTCGTGCTCAGAGGCGTGGCGTGGAGGTCGTGCTCAGAGGCGTGGCGTGGCGTGGTGTGGTGTGGTGCGGAGCTTGTTCCGTGGAGCTTGTTCCGTGGAGCTTGTTCCGTGGAGCTCAGGGATGCGCCCCTGCTCAGGCGACCCTGCGGTC